GGCGGTCCTACAAGAACATTTGTACATAAATTAGAATTGACGAAGAAATGATTGACTGACTGACTGACCTATGCAAATTATGTGATGCTTCTAGAACGACCCGAGCGGTAGATAAGTTAGAACAGTTGCGTGCCCGATCAAGACACGGCAGGTGCTCTTAGAGCTGCGTTGTCGTAACAAATACCACGGAAAGGAGCGGGTTTGTTGGCACGCCCAGGTGCCGGCTCACGCCGTGCCAGCTACCTGCGTCTGATTTCGCTCTCGATCTTCTTCACCCTGTCTTTACCTTGGACCTAGGCAGGGGATAGAGGGAGGATCGAGTGCGGCAGATGCAGCGAAAGTTTGCCGCCGCTGTAAACTAATTCATGCGACATTAATCATCACTGCGCTCAGAATACGGTTGACATAGTCGCTGTCGACCTTTTTATTGTCGTAAGATTGCTGCCCACCTAAGGGTGTAATGTGATTTGGTTGGTGAAGCTCTGGAAGTGTGCTATCGCTACTATCTGCTATTTTCTATTTAAAATACCATCAGCTTACATTTCCTGTTGTTCGAAAAAGCGGAGTTGTATATGGTTATGCTATCTGGGGAAGGTCTTTTTCAAAGAAAATTAAGGAATTTAGTCTGAAGCTCATTTAAATGATTCAAGCACATGGATTAAACAACATCCTCAGTAAGCCCGAGCACAAGTTCTGCCAATAATGCTTGCGTTTTGTTGGTCAGAGTCTTGGAATTCTTTCGGATACGAACACAGTTTGTGTGTTTGTGTGCACCTTTGCAACGCCGAATGTGCCAGATTTGCGGTTGCCATAACTTTTGCGTTTGTGCCGATGTATCACTTTGGGGCTTGATATAAGTCTTAGCAGAACGCAGCAGCCAAAATCCCAGGCACGCGTTTTGCGGTTTTCCGCACTTGTGTACTGCCCGCCAGTGGTTCGCCAGAAGGTGTACCTATGATGATCTAATTTTCAGATAAAAGTCTGCTGCAGTTATTCCAATGAAGTTGACAGTCTACAGACCGGATATTTACACAAACACTCACGTTGGATAAAAGGAATGGCCCATCCTAAAGAAAATTTAATGATGTTTCAACAATTTCTAGGGAAAAATATCAAGTCATAACTGACGCGAAATCTTGTATTTTCGTATCTAGGGCTAGGTAATTCTGAAGGAATGCAGACGGATTCTACTCGTCAGTAACATGTGATCTCAGCATTGTCGCCAGCATCTTCTTTGTCGTCAGCCAGAATTACTCCATTTTAATTCACTCTGACTCCTGTAGTTGGGTGCTTGAATGCTGACGCATTTGTGGATTAGACCATATGTTCGTCTGCACAGACTTGAAAGTTCATCTCACAACCACACCTTTTGCTAGACGCCTTTATGGCGTCAGACTTCGACAGCCCAGTACAAATAGGGCTTGGCAAAAGGCACTATGCTCTCTGCAGCTGAAAGAGTGGAGAAAACATCAGTAAATGATGATTTATACAGTTCGAACGAACGCTAAACTTAAAACCCAAATTCCTCCATCAACACCATAATGACTGGAGCAACTCGAGGCACTCTCAGTTTTCTGCTCCCACATCTTGAACTACTTCCACCAGGTACAGGTTCGGCTGAGAATGTAATCTCCAAGAAACAACAGACCTGAATCAGCGGCTGATTACCTTTGGCAGAATGAATTTATTTCTGACAATTCGGCAAAGGTCAAGAATTGGCTCATGTTTTTCGACCACTTTGCCACCCTCTATGTCCGACTAGTCAGCAGAATTGTCTTGCTCTAGGAGTGGAGTTTCATTCTGCTCTAGTGGGGTTCCGCAGGGTAAGAGGTCATTTGTTCGTCACCTCCATCATCCTCAAATCAAGGGTGCTCTGGCAGGACAGTAAATCGGCTTGAGATAATTCTTTCCTCCATCACTTACCTTGCCCCTAAGAGAAGACAGCGCGGGCGCATGGGCTAAAAGAGGTAGACAGCACGTCTACGCGTGCTATACCTGTCATTTCGACCGGCGTTGCTGACGATGTCCACTGCCTGTGCTACAGCAGGGTGAACGTCGAGACGCTGACTTGCGCGTTACTTAGTTTATAGCGATAGTACGCTTGCGCAGCATCTGCACAACTCTGTCTGCACTCACCCACCTGGGCCGAAGAACAGGGCAGAATCAAGAATACGGGTTGTGAGATTGGGCGCAGCTGATTGTCATGGTGGAAGCATGTACTTAGACTTGTCGCTACATGTCCCATGTGTGGCGCTCATTAGGGGCGCCTATCCTCAATACTGTTAGGAGGCGCTTAACGGATAGCTGGCATTCAAAGTAGCGAGCGCACTCAGGGCAGGCTATCGATCGGCCTCCAGGTGGCGAAGCATACTAACAGGCAATCAATCAATAATTTAAAATTCAAGCTACTGTCTGCCGTGAGTCACCAGCCAAGCCAGGACAGAAGCTGATTGGCCCGATGGACATAGGTTACACGCGTTTGTTGCTCTAAATATGTTGTACCTTTGACGCTCAAAGACTTCCGCTGTTGCGCTCTTCTTGTTGTGTTCTTCCTTGGGGGACTCACGCAGGGCGTAATTGGGCGGTGACACCTCGGTCTTGGCTACCGTAACAACAAATACCACTTGGCGTGTCCTGACTTGGTGGCCTTGTTGGTCTAACGCATCTACCGGCTGGGCCGTTGTAGTAATACAACAACCTGATACGCGCACAATGAACTAAGCAGTGATGTGAAGGGGGAAGCATTTAAAACGGTACTGGCCATGTTTAAAAAGGCCTTTGAACGTGCTTTTTTTTCGTACGCTTACTTATATTTTTTTTCTACTACTTTGTTTTTAGATAGCCAACTTTGCACCCCTGCTATACGTACTGCTAACGCGCATCTGTCGTGCCTTCAATCGTCGCGCTAGTGGCTACTGGATGCAGCTGATACAACCGCCTGAACGACTGGCAAACTATCTCATACTCATCCTCGGCTTCCTGGCTTCTGTCCTGTTAACTCAGTTTTGGAGTGTACGTCCAGTTGGTAGTCCTCTAATTCTGGGCCTATTTCGGCTTAACTTGGTATTTTTCTCCTAGATTTTCGTTTCTCAATTTTATATTTCAGTATTTCATCTATGCAGTTTCAGGCTTTCTCTTTAAATAACCTCTTCGGGTCGTTAATGGTGCTTTTCCGAGTCTTTTCTAGTTTTTTGATTTGCTTCTTGCTACGCTTCTGCCCCCTGCTTCACTTATTCCTGCTCTTCCTTTCCGACTTCGTCGCCTTTATGGTTAACCTAGGCAATACTTACATCCAAATATTGTCTCTGAAATCCTTATAATGTGGGCGTATTAGAAAACGAATTACGATATCCATTAAGAACAGACTATGGAAATAGGGAGATTCATATAATCCTGAAATGCTTGGAACACGACGGTTTTTGACAACCGGAAAATACTCTTTATTGAAATATAAATTTGGAGACGACGCAATTGTCTATTAAATAAGTACAAGAAAGACCCCATAGCGTATATATTTTACAAAGTATATTAAAACTTATAGGAATACTGAAAATCCTTGTTAAACGCATGTTAAGTGAGCATTTTATTGGGGCATCACTTTTTTCAGGCGGCTGGAAAAAAGCTCGTCAAAAAGCCGGTCTCCTGACGTGCTTGGGAGTATGGTGCACAGCAGTTACTTAAGTAGTATTTTCTAGTCAAACGTATATTTTAGAGTTTCAGTTGATGTTCCATGTCTTGGCACATATATTCTATTCAACTTACACAATTTAGCAATGAATGTTGACCATGCCCTGTAGCTCACAATTACGACACCGTGTGAATTGACATTTCACGAGCCTGAAAAATATCGCGATTTAAAACTTTCTAAATCGCAAAATGCCCTTTGTCAGTCTGACATGTAAAGAAGAGGTAATCTTCCGTTGAAGGTAGAAGTACAAGAAAGGACGTTTGGAAGCGCGATATACGATATATGTAAATTTATGGTAGCGTCGAAAAGCAATAAGAAATATGTTACGGGTTGGTTTACCATTGTTTAATGAACGTGAATGATTTACCTATCCAAATAATAGGCCCACTATTGACACTATTTTAAAGCCCTCCAGACAGCTTCGGTTGCCTAATGCCCTTCTGTGCCTTTTTTTCTAAATTCGTACGTACTTTTAATTCCTTTCACTCTCCGCCAACCAGCTCTTATTGACCGTAGTCAGTGACTCAAGGACTGCGCTCAGCGGCGAAAGCATGATTGCAGCATGTTTTTTTGATGGTCCAGGGTTGCCCGCAATGCACTAAATGACGTTGCTGCGATCATCATCAGAACTCACTGCGTGTTTCGTCAAAAGCAACGTTGACTGCTCAGTTGGCTACCTCTCATTGCCACTCAACCCGAGGCCTGGTAGTTGCACTGTTTCCATGCCAAGGGTCACCTGAGCTCTTCAGGTCAGGTGCAGCCGCTCTTTGGCGAGATTTTAAACGGCCCTGTTCGCCCTCACATGATCTGGAATCCTACACACCTCCGCGCGTTCCTGATTTCGATGTTGTCCGAAGGTGACTCGGACAATTGTTTGCTGCGGAAATCGAGTGTCAGTGTGTGTTTAGCAGATTATTGAGTCTTGTTATCGGCTAGACCGGTAAATTAGCGTAACAGGAGTCAGCTTACCGACAACTGCTAATGTTATGTTGGTGTGCCGGGTCTAGGTAATCACAATTTTTGAACTCTTCGAGTTGCACTTGTGGTGGAAATGTGTGGGTTCATGTTGGCCTGATCCTTACGCAACGGCTACTGAGGTTTCAGTACTTTTCCATGCGGACCACTCTTCACGCTCACGAAGCAACTGAATAGTGACAGGTGTAGCTACTGAGGCGATATCGAAACGGGAGAAGTCTATTTAACAGGGGGCGCGAACGGAAGACAACGAATACCACACAAATAAGTGAACGTGGAATTTATCCCAAAAGCTGCCCATGTTTGCGTAATTGTGAGCTTCTTATCCCACCGACGGTTAGTTCATAAGCTTTAGTCTATGCGGAAACTTAGCCTTTTCGAGTTGTCAATGCATTCGACCTCTAACAACCGTTTTATTTCCGCGAGGGAATTCAAATATCCATCTCAAATTCCTGGCCATTAAAAAATCCTCTAAGCTATTTTTTTGTATGGTTTTTTGTGTGTTTTGTCTGTGTGCCTCTTGAAGCATTCCTTATCGAAGTTGTCCAGGGTGCTCAGCTTGTTGCCTTGCCCATAGGATTAATTCTGAATGTGACATTTAGCCACCCGGCTTCATTGGCTTCCCCTGTCCGCATTTCCCTCCTACTAATTCTTTTCTATCACTCCACTTTGTGCTCGCTTTCTTCAGTCCTCTGTCATTTGACTTCTCGTTTCTCCTGTTTCATTGAATTGGTTTATCATTTTCTTACGGATATGCTGTTTATGGTAGTGCAAGTAGAGCTCCTTTTACTACTCAAGAAATAACTATTTGTATTCTGTTGCTGCATCCTTATAGAAGGCCAGCTGCTTGTCATACTCTGGGCATTAGTTATCGATCAAACCTATAACAAACAGGTTTAATTAGGTTAATCAGTCCCCAGTTCCTTTCATATACTAATTTTTTTCCGCCTCTAGCCATCTCCTTTCTCCTGTATCTACCTTCTTCTATCTTTCAGCTCCCTGTGTTGTTTACTGTTTCATATTTTCATCCTGTTGTTTACGACATTATCGGAGGAATTTATTTTACTATGCCTTATTTCAGGTGGTATTGGTGATGCCGGGCCTGCCGCCAAATGTGAACATGGGCGACTCCTCCCCGGAGGCCATATACGGCCACAGTCTGGGTCTTTTTGTGCTCACCTTCATGCTCGGTATCATCGACTGTATGTCCTCGGTCACCTTCCTCGCCTACCTAGCCAACATGCCTGCGGTCTACGCCGGCGCCCTGCTCTTCGGCGAGACCTGCAGTGGTCTTCTGCCCAGCCTCTTCGCCCTTATCCAAGGTGCCAATCCAGAACCCGTTTGTCACAATGTGACTGGTGAGCTTGTACTGGCGATTTTCCTTAGTGCAGATATCACTGCCGTGACTTATTCCCCCCAGCCCCCTCCCCTCCAACGACAAAGACGAGGATTGCGGCCTTTTCTGGCTTATTTGCCTTCCTGAGCCAGTGATATCTGCATCCTTGACTGTACACATCCGACATTCGAATCCTGAGTAGTAATCGTGTAATGGTCGGGATCGCACCCTGCACTGATTTAAACTCGGTTGGCCATTGGCGTACTGTCATACTGCAGTAGTACTTTCACTAACAGCCAGTTTACTTGCAGTTGTTTTATGGACTGCAACACTACAGTTCCGAGTAGAGTCTGCTAAGAAGTCGTGACGGAATCCAGTGCGTGATTGTAAATGCCCACAACGGGTGTACCCTGTCTCATGACAGTACAGTACGGCTCCGAATTCGTGCAACGTGCCGAAATTTGCGAAACAGTGACGCTCACTTGCTAAACGGCATTGAGTAAGGTTCTGATACTGATTATCGTGTAGCCTATTCTCAACTCATTTCAGGCACAATAGGATACCGGCTTTTTGATGAACTTGTTTCTGACCGCTAAAAAAGGATGTACTGTAAAAATGGCTACTTAAGAAGTATTCATTTTTATTATTGATTTTGACTGTCTTTATAAATTTAAACATATTTTATGGAAAACATGCACGAAATAATTCTTTCTTGTGCTCTTTTGGTGGCAAATTACGCCTACTTTAAATTTTATACTTCAAGAAAGGGTATCTTTCGACTTAAAACAAGTTTCTAACTTGCCGAATTATTTTGAAACCTAACGACTGCTAAACCTGAATTCAAGGTTTACAAACTGCGCGGTGTGTACATCCCGTTTACTGAAAAGAACGTTTTTGCCTTCGCTTTGGGGAGGGAGTCACATAGTTCCCAGAAAATTGTACACTATATGTGGGTCTTGCTGTATACGTTATAGGCAGCATTTATAAATTGACGGATACAATGTATTATGCATAAACGCCTCAATCTTAAAAGAATTCATTATCTGAAATATTTATAAAACTGCAGGATACCCTTTCTTTAAGTATAACATTTGACGATGGCGTGGTGTCCTACCGAACAAGTACAAAAATGTTTTTTTTTCGCACATGTCTTTCCATGAAATATATTTGGATTTATAAAAGCTGACGTCCTATCCTGACTGAACTGGCTTGGAAATAGGCTACACGATAATCAATATCACAATGGCGTTCGGATCAGCTCATAAGCATTACACGTATCTCTCCAGGCAGCCTCAAAAAGGTCCCACCGTAAGAATTCGTTTAAACAACTCATAACACTGCCGGGAAAGTTTGTTTAAGATGCTCAGTTAACTCATTGGACTGAAGTTGCGACCTACAGGTAGTGGCCCCTAAACGTCTGCGACACTCATCAGTTTACGTTCTAGGTCAATTTGTCCTTGCAGCAGTTGGCCTTGGTTGTGGTGCAACTGATGATTAATGGCTCCTTCCTAATGGGGCATCTGGGACACTCTGAACTAGTTGGCTTCCCAGCCGCTGCTCTCTTGCTAATGTGAAATACTGGTCCATTGTGCGTAAACAAAGTGTGTGCGTGTGTGATACGCATTGACGGGTTGTTTGCCTTCGTCAATCCGATTTCACATTCGGCCTTGTTGACTATTTCTGGGTATCGTCCCTAGAAGGGTTAGGTAGGGGAGTGTACGGTAGATGATGCGCTAGTCGACTGTTACTATAAACCGGTGTCCCCGCCGCGCAAGTTCGCATCCCAGTGTACACCACACGTGAACATCGACGGTAATAGACTGTCTGCAGTGATTAGCCCTATTCAAAGTGAAACTGATAACTGTGTTACCTCATAAATGGCCAAGACCGAGCGATGCTGCAAGTGTCTCGGGTCTAGGAAATAGGTTGTGTGATTGAGATTTCCCATTATTCCATCATTGCTAGGTTTCTGGTCTCACATCTCCGCCACGTCTTCATTTAGTTCTGCTCGCCAATTTGTGCGATCACTAGTAAATCCTGTGTCGCGATGGTTTTGCTGTCTATGGAGTCAGAATGCTATGATGATTTCGTTCATCTAGTTCTTTAGTGCGGCAGCCAGTCACGGTGACTACCCCTCTCTACTCTCTCCAATCCTCCCGACCGTAATCACACCCTCAAGTAATTATAGAGATTTCATTCACGGCCCACGCTATGGAGTATCGTGGACTACCTGCACGGAATAATGGTACCCGTCTAGCCC